TCCTGTCCCCTTCTCGCATCAAGGCATATGTAAAATCGAAAACATTTTTTTTCAAAGCAACGATTTCCATTTTTTTTCGACGTCCTGTGCTGAGTAAAATACACTTTTCAACCTCAGTGATGGGCAAATGAAACCACGGAACTAGCAAACAGTTACTTCACTACACGCTATGATTTTTAAGTCCGTATAGGATTTTATAACCTGCTGCCCCGAATTTCGCAAATCCATATTACTTACCCTCAAAGCTTGATTTCACACTTATCAGTAAAATTGAAGAGTACTTAAAAGACATAATTTCGCAAACTACGGCAGTTACAACTTTCGCAAACACAGCACACTTTTTGTAGTCTTCTGCAAGTGGGAATTTTAGTTCTGCAAAACTCTCAAATGTGGAAACTGCTCCGAAAGTAAATTAAAGCCGTACTGGATTAGCTAGGACTGGGCTGGTATCGTTGGTTCTGGAAGAAAAATCTTATTAAAAACGGCTGATGTAAAACAAATCTGCCGAGGTACAGCCGACCCTCCCGAGCAAACTTAGTTCACTATGGTCCACCTCCCTTGCCCTCTTTGTATGAGAGATGTTCTGAGGATAAAGAAGAGAGGAAGTTGGAAAAGTAAGTATAAGCAGGCGCTTAACGTTTCCTAAGCTTTACTCATGGTTATGCTAAATACCTAAGAGGCAGAAAATCCACACAACTAGCGCTATAAGAAGAGAAAAGCACAAATTTTAGCAATTACTGAAAGAATGACATGAAGTGTGACCTCGAAAAGCCATCGTATCATGGAAGTTGTCGACAGCTTATCACCCAGAAACGAGTTCACGTTTATGCCCTTTTTTCTGAGCGACGTGACAACAGTCTCACACAGCTCCACCGACATGCTTGTTAATTCTGAAACCTTGGCTACAGAATTAAATTCCCGAAATTATATGAATAAAATTGATATGAAAAACCATCCCTCGTATTGAGGGGTGTTTAATAGTATTGAAAGCAGACCCTCATTTGTTTCGGGTTCTTCAAGGACCGCAGCCAGCCATAACGGAACAATCAGTTCAAACGAGTATGAGTTCTGCCTTCGCAAATATTCCTTCAAGAAATATGAAGAGATCTTTGGCTGGTAATTCTCGGCCAACAAATTTTGCACCACACATCGCATATTCTGATAAGCCAAAGCAGCATTCAGTTCGGCACGTTTCACCAGCTATAATAAACAGTTACAGGTACTGAAGTTG